TCCACTTGGCCTCTTGTCTTTCAGTAGTCTAACCACACCTTTCTTTTAGCACAGCAGGTGGTTTCCAAGAGGTCAGCTGCCATATATAGAGCTTCAGAAGGCTCTGTGGGCTTCATGCATGCTAATCATTTAGAGCAGACTGCACAGTCAAGCAGGGAGGGGTGTGTATACGACTGCAAAAGACACTAATGCCGATGCATTCATGCAGTCCACCATTATGATTGACTCCTCATCTCCATAATGGATGTTAGTGGGGGAAAGCCCTGAATTTGAGTTGTGCAGAAGAGGTATAATAATAATAATAATTTATAATCGTTTTAACCTGAACCAGAGCATGTTGTGTGAGTAATTTCACAAAATCATAATAATGAATGACCTTGATTTCACCTGATAGAGGATGTGAAATAAAGGCATAAGGAAGTAGAACTTAAAATGTGAACAAAGGAGTTCATATTCTGTCAGGGTTTAGTAAAGAAAGTGCGTCTCCATAAGATAATGTGGTAGAGAGTATTTTTGTGGGTTTGGTGGAGATTTAACTGAGAGTGTTGCACATGCTCAGTATGTTTTATGCCATTGAGCTATATGCCAAGCTATTGTTCCCTCTTTTATTTATTTTTTTTTTGACAAAACTACTACATGTGTGTTTTCATATGATGTGCCTAACAAGTAACCTTGACAGGCTTCCGATTTAGACTAGAGTTCTCCTTCTTTCACACTTTCTCTCTACCAAAATAAACACCTGAGTCATGGAACAATATTATGTTCATAATCTGAAGCATAACAGTAACACTGTTTTAAGAATTATAGAATGATACACAAAGGATAAATGTGGCTTCTCTGGCCCTGTATCTAACATGTATCTTCCCTAAATCTTCAAACTGCGTGTGAGCGCGTTTTAAACTAAAGACAAATTGGTTTTCTATTTTTGTGGAAAATATTCCTCACTTAACACCACCTTTATTTCTCTAGTCATACTGTTTTTCTTTTCTGTGCTGCTCTTTTGACCTATTAATTTGCTGCAAGATAGTGAGGAGTTTGCTGACATACACACAACAGCACAAACACTCTAGTGCCCATGCACACACACATTCACATAAATATAATACAGTTTGAACATAAATATATGCACATCAATATACACACAAACATATATAAATACATATAGGTATACACATACACATATAAACATAAATACATACATGTACAGACATAAATATGTAATGCATGAATACAGTAAGAATTATAATTGTATTTTATCTTTTATTCCTATAATACAATTAAATATTAAAATTAGTAAAAATGTTAATTATATTAAACTTCTGTTTTCTCAGTTAATACAAAGCCATAGTTTATTATAGTCTCTTCTTTTGCTTAGCTGGAATTGCAGTGAAATTATACAACAACATAAGGCAGAAAGAGGAAATAGTAACGCCACTTTGAATGCAAACCATCAAATTTATGCAGTAGAGAGCAAGTAAATTATACCATGAAAAGTGTTTTATCTTCAGAAGCATTTTCTTCAAGACCCAGCCTTAAAGTTTCAGAACTTAAGTTTTTATTCTCAATAATCACAATATTGTTTTGCTTTATGAAAATTCATCTGTTTATTCTTATACTTGATGTTACTTTTGAGAAAAATGTTAAAAAGCAAGATGTATTTTAATCTGTTTTCTCAAATGCCTTTCTCGTTATCTTTAAAAATTTTCTCTTAAAAACATACAATTAATTTGATTGTGTGCACCCATATGTACAGCGTATGAAAGTTGTGGAGCAGTTGATGAAAGAATGTGGCGCAATCTGGCTCAGTGCATAGCTGCCATCCTGCTTTAAAAGCCTGCCTTGCAGTCAGACTTGGGCTAACAGCTGTGTTAACAGAATGCCATGCAGTTTCTCTAGTTTGAGATGGAATTAACTGTTATTTATAGGGAATAATTAATGTAACATTTTATATGGGTAAACACATTTTCAACCCTTGAGAATCTGTTAAGATTTTTTTTTTAAGGATGGAAGATGAGGAATACTCTCAGCTGCCAGCAGAAGCTTCTTGAGAACCAGTTTATGTCTGGGTGTAAAATCGTCCTGCAGACTGTAAAGACAGATCACCTCTAACGTGAAGACAAAGAATTAAAATTTAGAGAAGAAAAAGGACCTTTCTTTATAACTATACACATTTGGACACACCCATTAGGACAATCATAGAGTTCTGTTTAAAAGGGAAAATAATGACGTACACACATGCTTCTGTCTTTCCAATTTCTTACTTTAAAGGCAGAGTGGAAGGAGATTAGGAAGGGCATAAAAAAGGAAGAAGGGCTATATACACAACTTTGTCCTAGGAAAGACAGTGATGATTTGTCTGTGATAAAAGTATGGCCACTGATCAGCGTTGAGCTCCAAATGTTATACTTTGAATGCAGATACTAAACATTGAATTTGGGAGAATGGTTTGTTTTGATCCACCATCACATGTTTGCTGGCTAAATGCTTTGTCATCATAGATTTCATAATAAGACTTTGAGCTGCTTGTGTCACCTGGTGACTTCTGAATAAGGATCCTTTACAATAAGTAGATTACCAATGAGATAGTAGTGAATCGTAATATGAAAATAGTTTTCCTGATGTCATCAGAAGCTGCACCCGAAATAATAGTCTCTGAACAGTTTTCTCATTTATCTGAACATGGAAGAGCTCACCTCCACTTGAAACTTTTCTCCAAAACAACAGGACAAAACAGGGGTGGTCTGCTGATGTGCAAGTTTTGAACCATGGAAACGCTATTGCATTTTCAAAAGTAAAGATATATTTTAAGTAACCATATCATTAATTCAGTTTGTTTAAACACCTACTGTGTAGGTGTCTCTGGTACTGTTTTAAGAAAACAGCTAGTGGCCATGTGCTCCTCTTTCATTGTGCTATGTAGTCATGGACAGAGCATGCAGTATCAAATAAGGCTCTTCATTTTCTTCAGCAGAGCACATGGAAGCAGCACTGCCAGACATCTTCATCAAACAATGAAATTCACAGGACAATCACTTTCATATCTGTTACTTTAGACATATAGGTACATTGAGATTTGGTGACAATTTCCCTCTTAAATCCTGATAGGACTTTGTGAAACATAGTGCCAGGTTTCTGGGTTTCTGGGTGATTTAGTAGTGTGCTTCCCACTTCATAATACTGAGGAGAGGCAGGTTCTATATTCTGAAGAAGGGGAAGGGCTCCAATTTAGCTATATCCCAGGATTCAAGAGTGATGACACATTGCTAAGACAGGGAGAGACCACACTGTGTCCATTACCTTACCATGCACTGAAGAGTGCTGTGTCTATCACCCTTTCATGCACTAGAGATGAAATGTGTTGAGGTCTGAGACTCAATTCATATGCCAAATATGTTGCCTTCATTTTAGGCTGTATTGTCATGTTAGTGTCTATGGGAAATCCACATTTTTACAAATAATCATCTGTAATTTAGTGTTGAAAAAACAAAACAAAACAAACAAACAAACAAAAAACAATCCTCTACCTCCAGGGGTGAGGGATTTAGAAAGCTGTCATGGTCGCACATTGAGACCTGAAGTGGATGGAGCAGTGTTATGAGGAATGGCCACTGTAGTAAGTGTGTGGGTGAGGAGTTGCATCCCTACTGTCAACTCTGTATCTAGATGGTTGTAATTTGAGTCCTTTAGTACTCTTCCGAGTGCACCTTTTTCACGTGGCCACCATCATCAATGAGGCCTGTGCTAAACATCTTAGTTAGGGTTTCTACTGCTGTGATAAAATACCCTAACCAAAATCACTTGGGGAGGATTGAGCATTCCATTGCTGAGGAAAGTAAGGACAGAAACTCAAGGCAGTAACCCAGAGGCAGCCTTGGAGTAGAAGCCATGGAGGAATGCTTCTTACGGGCTTGTTCCTAATGGTGTCTTCAGCCTGTTTTCTTATAGCATCCAAGAGCACATTCCCAGGGGTGGCACACTGTGAGCTGAGCCCTCCCATATCAAACATTAGTCAAGACATACCCCACAGATTTGCCGACAGGCCAGTCTTAGGGAGACAGTCTCACTTAAAATTTCTTCCTAGATATGTCTATGTTTGTGTCTCAAGTAGGCAAAAATCAATCAGCACACTATGGATGGATGAAGGTAGAAACATTTATCTTCCCCCATGACTTTTGTCAGATTAGTTGTGTCCATCACACTGCTTGCTTTCTGTCCCCCTTTTCCCTCAATAAAAGTCAGACAGAATTACCACCAATGAGAGATGGGGGAGAAAAGGAGGACTTTGAAAGAACTAAATTATAGACAGACAAAACAGGAAGTTAAATGTGTGGTTTAGTGTAAATAGTGTTTTAAATTCATAGGATTCATATATTAGTTTCAGCTAGTGTCACCAATAAGCCCCATTGAATGGCCTTGAAGAACTGGTTTATTATTTTACCAACAAATTCTAGGAGATAATTTTAGTGACTTAAGTAAAGAAGGCAGGCTGGCCAAATAGTATCACATAGGAACTCAAGGACAAAGGGAAAATCTGGGTAGAGAAACCTCTTTTTAGACTTACAGTGTCCATCTTGTTGTCCCTGGTTTGGTGATCAGGGCATGGGTTAATGAAGACAAGGATTAGGGTAATGTCAAGAGGAACCAGAGGGAAGTGTAACCTGAACCTGGAAACTTTGGATGTATATTATAATCACAAGTACATTTCTATAGCATTTACCTGGCAATATATAGATTATCTTTCTTTTATTTTCTCACTTAAACACTAGCAATTTAGAACATACACTAATGTCATTGAAACTTAAATAATTTTCTTAAGCTCAGATAGTTAATATTGATCAGAACCAGAGCCCAGATCTTGGGTCTTTCTCCACCCAGGCCTTGCTATAAGTGATAGTGATATACCACAAATTTGAAATAAGGGGCAGCTCTCATCATAGGACTGGCTTTCAGTAGACCATTGCAATAAGAATAATACAAACTTTCTTCTCTTTTTTCTACAGTGAGACTTTATGACAGTATATCTGAAGAGGGCTTCCATTACTTGGTGTTTGACTTGTAAGTACTTGCTTTATGTTCATTTATTTTTGCCATATAATTGAAAGCTATTTTAATTCCAACATGATTTTTTCTCATTAAATAGTCCACAGTAAGGACTACAACAATATTTTAAGTGTTTTCAAGTGATTTTCTGCTGTAATATTTTAAAAATGAGAGTCAGTTATACAGTAGTGTGTTGTTCACATTTGAAAGTATGTTCTACTTTGCACTATCCATGGCAATGTTTTACAAAAATGGGTGACTTGTGCAAACTTTTCTATTGAATTGTCTAAGAGCTTCTAAAATGTATCTTTTATAAAAAGAAGAATGCAGACAAATAATCCTGGTATTCAAGGTTCATTTAAGTTAATCAGAATTTAAATCAAGGCTCTCCCAATAGGAGTGAAGGGGGAAATATGGATTCCTGGAAGTCATATAGCAAAACCGTTCTCAGGTGTGACCGGCAGGAGCTGAATATGGAAACACTTACTTGAAATCATTTTGATACTAATTATTTAAGAAATTAAAAAATAGCTGTATCATTTTGACATTAATTTGACTTGTGGGAACAAATCCATAGAAATTATATCCTGAATCAGAAATAATCACACAGCCACAAAACACATTTCATACTAGTCTCTTAGTAATAGGTTTAATTAAATCAGATTTTAGTGATACAAAATTGTTTTTCTGTTTGGTTTCTGTAATGTTTGAGTTTGTCTTCATCTTAAGCTCTATGTGTCCTCCAAAACTGACTATTATTTTCAGTTATCAGACTGATTTCCAAAGGAAGCAAAAGGGGACAGTGATGCTGTTGCAAGTATTTTATCCATTGAGCAAAGCTTCCCCATGATGAGAATTCCCCTGGATCTTAGGATATAGGCTAGCACAAAGGCACAGTAACTATTATGATAAAAAGGGAATACTTGAGCATGGGTAGACAGCCATGTACATTCATCTGCCATACTGTGATCTGTGCATATCTGGGAAAACAGTGGCCAAACCTGCTTAGACATAGGTCTAGAATGCAGGCTTGTCCCTAAAGGCACAGCCCATCCTTGGTGTCCTCATGCTGCCCATGACATCTTTTACTCAATGCCTCTTTTCAGAGCTTTCACTCTTCTTACGCTTTCAGTTCTTCATTCTGGCTTCCTGCTTTCTCATGGACCTAACGCCCTTCTTTATGGTTTTCTTTCTGTACTTTCTTTAGTCATTCTTTTGTTTGTTGGATTTTTATGAGGTGTAGATATGTAGATTTTGCTCTCTGTGCCTCCCGAGGGTTGGGAGTGATACAGTGATGCATCAGAACACCCTCCTTTCAGTATTCCTTGAGGACATCATGCTAGCAAGAAATTCTCAGTTTTCATTTTCTCTTTTCAATTTCTCCTTTGCTTGTGTGATTGTTGTCCATCCTCCCTCCTTCCCTCCCTCCCCCTCTTTCTCTTCCATGCTGTGAATTAAGTGTAGTACCGCATATGTGCTAGACAAACACACTCCACCCCCAGCCATGTTTCTTCCATGATGTGCCACTTCCTACTCTGTACATTAGTAAGGAGAAGTTCCATCATTCCAATAATTGTTTCCCACAAGGCAGTGTGTTATTTCTCCCTAGTTGCTTTCAAGATTTTACTTTTATCTTGTATTTCAGAAATTTGACTGTGTTGTGTTTAGGCATGTATTTCTTAGTTTTTCTTATTTGTGATTAGTTTTGTCTTTTGAAAAATGTAGGTTTGTGTATGCCAGTTTTGCACATTTTTAGACATCTCTTTGAATACTTTTCAACCTCGCTTGCTTTCTCATTTGCTTTGAAGTAATGATGAAATAATCGTTGGATTTTGTTTCTGCTCTTATCCTCCCATTGTCCTGTCCCAGTTTTGTTTTCTTGAGTAATTTGTCTTGTTTTGTTGTTTTCCAGTTTGGTGTTGACTTTCTGCATCTTCCATCGGTTTTGCTTTTCTTTCTGTTGTGGAGCTTATCAATTTAGTCTTTAGAAATTGCAGTTATCCTGTATTTTAGTTCTATGATTTGTTGTTGGGTTTTCTTTATATTCTGTGTTTTCCTGCTCTTGTCTCAAGCATGTTCTTCTTGGGTCACTAATGTGCTTTTATTGGGCAGACTGAGAATCCCTGTCTTGTAATTGTAGTCTTGGTGTTGCTGTCTAGTGGTGCTTTGAGAATCAAATTGAGATTTTCTGATTGTTGATGTGATGAGATATTTGCAATTGTATTCTCATTTTGCACTATTTTTCCAAACTTTGTATTGAGTTCAGTCTATTTACTAGTCCTCCTCTAATATCACGTCAGCAGCAGTGGGAGGAAGTGTATGCAATGGTGGGCACCTACAGATCCCTGCTGAGTCTTCACTGATACCCATTGGGATAGTTCTTTGCTGTTGGGCAGGGATTGTGCCACAGTAGCATCAAAATGGGGCTGGGCTTTATTTAGTGGAAGAAATGCATCACTTTTCCTTTTTGTTTCCCCAGTATGAGATGTATTACTATTTCTTGATGACTTCATTATTAAATAAGCTTAGTTACAAGACATGACATAGAGATTTTCCTATACTCATCTATGTCCTGATATCTGTACTGTATATTTCATAGGCTTTCATATCAGTCCTTATGAAGGAGGTGATAAGAATCTATTATTTTCTCATAATTCATTTCCATAATTCAGAAAAAGAGTTGAAAAAAGGATATATAAAAACATTTCACATTAATACAAAATATAACTTACAGTTATATGTTGCCTTGAAAATTCTTTTTCCATTTCTATAATTTAGTTTATTGGGCAGAAACTTTTAGTTTCATAGTAGGGATGTTTGCCTACGTTGTCACTGCCTTAGGACCTGAGGATGAACACTTAAGTACAGGACAGAAAAGTTTAACACATGCTGAATCAGGCAAATCTGAACCTCTAAGTGCAGGTGTATTCTTTATTATTTAAAGTATGTGCTGTGAATAATCACTAGCTACCATGAAATGGTTTTGTCAGTAAATAAGATTAAATGAGTCTAGATACAGTCTAGTACTTCCTAGAAAGAAAACATAACCAAATATAAATAGGAAATAGCTTCAGACTATGTGATTATTCTAGAAATCAACAAAGAAGGAAAAAGGAACATCTTCAGAAGAGTATACATTTTCAATATAGGATAAAAGAATGACTTCAAAGATATCAGTGAAATATAGTGGGGAAATTTGAGCACACATAGTCACTTGCAGGATAAAATAAATTATTGAATTCCCATTGAAGGAAGGTGTCTTCTGTTCCTTTATACCCTTTAATGCTGTTTTGACAGTATGGTTCTTGTGAATGCTTTCTTTAGAATGACAGTCACCAGACTCTAAGAGAAAGTTCTGGGTTTATAGTTTTTTTTTTTTTTAAATGAAAGATTTCACATTATGAAATAGAAGGGTTAGAAGGAGTTCTATGAGGAGAAAAGACTTTTTTATCCCCCCCCCCAGCTATTTTAAGTCTGCAAAGCATTGGTAGTCTCTTTTATGTATAGACTAGGGTATCAGTGAGAATACCCTCCTGAACCTGAAAGCTTGTATATCTTCACAGCTCTGTTGATCTTCCCTGAGTTTCTAAAATCATCCTTCTTCATGATGGTTACCCCTATACAACCATGATGTTCCAGGATCATGCTAGCAACTCTGAAAGCAAAAAGGGCCAAAGTTATAGACATGGATTTATCTGACAGCTAAAGAAAGAAAAGAAAGCAAAGAAATGGATCTAGAAGGGAGTCCCAAAGAGAAAGGCTTGCAGGCAGCGATGTTGGCTTTTGAGAGAGAATTTCTGTTTCTATACCCAGTGAGAAACAAGGCATATAATTAAATGTAGTTAAGAAACAAGAATTCCTGTGGGATACTGATCAGTTGCTGCCAAAATTAAACAAACAAAGCAAAAGGATTCCTAAAGAGAGGGTATGCCTTGAATGCCTCTTTTGATCCACTTTTTGAGGCCACTTGACTACCTGATTATTAAAATAATAAATTAGTAATTAATTGATTTGTTGGAGTCTTGTAAATGGCACAACAGAAGACAGTTGAAGAATTTAAAAAAGCAAAATGAATTTTGTGAAGATGTACATTACATGCTCAGAGATGAATAATTCAAAGTATAAACTGTTCTTCCAAAATAGGCTGATTCGGCATCTCAACACTATAAAATACAGTTTGGTTTATTCAACATGTTAAGAAAATGCTCATTTTTTAAGAAGTCACAACAGAGGGACAAAACATTTCTTGGGGCAGCAAATTATAGACAGCTGCATGTCAGAGTGGGAGTTAATAGCAAACAAATGACAGTCCACTAGTAAGGTATGTTAAGTAGATTCTTCACATGTATACTTAAGTTGATGAAACTTAAGGAGCAACCCTTGTGTTACTGGAAGAGACATCAAGAAGGACAACTTCACAAATTTATGCCCTACTCTTGGGAAGTCAGAGGCATTTCTTCTCAGTTGCCTTCAATTCAACTGAATTGAAAGTATTTATAATACAGTTAAAATGTTATTTGGTCCACAGGTTTTATGGTCGTGTAGGAACAATGACTACTTTTCTCACTTAGCAGCTTACAGAGCATCTTCACATAATCTAAGAGATAGTTCTTAGGGAAGAGGTTTCCATGTCAGTACCAGCTTGATCCCTCCAGATCTTGTATCTGAAGTGTGTGGTGTTTTCAGCAGTACAGTCTTAATTTCAAGTTCACCAGAAGCTTCTTTTTTGGCACAATTACATAAATGGTCAAAATATAGAGAACAAATGAATGCTGATCAAGCTCCAATTGATAACATCTATAACCAACCCTTATACCTAAAACTCAGTAAAACTGTGAAAAGGTGTAGAAAGGTTGTAAGAACCCAAGGACCATCTGCTAGATAGTATCTTCTAGACATGGTAGAGAGGCTGTACCTATGAAATCTCAGCAGCATTGTTGCCTAAACAATGCCTGCATAATGCTGACACCAATTGACATGCTAAAGTGAATGAGGGATGTTTCACTAGGTCTAGT